AAGTTCATTATTGTAAGTAGTTTCAACACAAGATATAAAAACTACATAAAGCAGTAGAAAACAAAGTTCATTATTGTAAGTAGTTTCAACACAAGATATAAAAACTACATAAAGCAGTAGAAAACAAAGTTCATTATTGTTTCAACACAAGATATAAAACTATATACAGTAGTCGAAAACACATGATATTAAGCTAGTCAAAAACGGGGCTCATTATTTTTTACAATAACTACGTGTATTATTGTACTGGTGAGAACTTTATCCAACACTTCATTTGAAAACCATAAAGACTTCACTCCATCTTCTTTTTACCACAGGTAGCTACTGTTGGCCTTGGGGGAGGTGGTGGTGGTGGTTATGGAGGAGGAGGTGGTGGTGGTTATGGAGGAGGAGGAGGAAAAGGGGGCGGAGGTGGTTCTGTAACACTCCTTGCCATTCCGTTATCCTTAGGAGGTGGTGGTGGTGGTGGAGGTGGGAAGGGTGGTGGAGGCTACGGATGGTAGATGTAAGGTTTGGGATGTTTTGTTATATATGTAAAATTATATCTATATCTTACTGGTCTTCATTTCAAAAATATTCCCTAATACGCGTGTAACCACTACGTAATTTGTATATTAAAATATAATATTATTTCTAAGCTACTAAACCAGACAATAACTAATATGTTGTGAGTAGCTATAGTACCAAATCTAAGATGATAATAAGATAAACAACAACAGGTATACCAGGAGAATCCTTTCCTGTACGTAATGAATAATCATCCCAATATCCTGTACGTAATGAATCATCATCTTAGTATTCTGTAGGTATTGAATAATCATCCCAATATCCCAATATTTAGTATCCTGTAGCTATTGAGTCATCATTGTAGTATTATGAAGATACTGAATCATCATTGTAGTACCCTAAAGATATTGAATCATCATCCTAGTATCCTGTAGCTATTGAAGTTACAATAACATTTCTCCAAGTCTGATCACCTGAAAACATTGGTTTAGTCATACAACTACACACTAAGTGAGGATTACTATTTAGATAAAAATCTCTAACTTGATTGGCATAGATAAAAATATTTATAATATTTTAACCGTCTACATCCGTATTGTTGTGTGTCTATTAGAGTCTTACTATTTCAATGTTTTGTGAGGGTTTGAGGATAAAATGTGGTTGTTTTTAAAAATATATTTGGTTAACTTACTTTTAATATAAGTCTCCACGATTTTTTAAAAGTACATAGTAATTTGTTTTGTTCCATTTTGTTTTTACTCTTTAAGTTTTTTTTTCCTTATTTTGGGTTTCTAATTTTTGAAACATTACACCCACATAGACACTTTCTATTATAACTCTTTATATTTGAATTACAAGTAAAAAAGAAACATACGATAGATATTTTACAAATATTCTTGACATTTTCATCATCTGTCTTCAGAGGTCTCCTTATTTCTTTCAAATTGTCTGTGTCATTTTCTGTGAGGATAAAATAATATTGGTTTTTGTACTTGAAAATGAATAAGCGGAAAGTAATATACAAATAACTAGAAAGCAGAAAATCTAGTTGTATAATTTTTAAATATATGAAATTTGTTATTAAACGTTAGCATAAGATAGCTTATGAGTTTAGAAAGTTAAATAATTATCATAATATGATATACAAAACAAGCCAGCAGTTCACTTGAAAGTTACGATCATTAGGTCGTCTAATGTTTTGTAGGTATTGAATAATCATTGTAGTACCCTTGAGATATTGAATAATCATCCCAATATCCTGTACGTAATGAATCATCATCTTAGTATTCTGTAGGTACTGAATAATCATTTCTAATAGATGCACAACAATACGGATGTAGAGTCTAATAGATACACAACAATACGGATGTAGAGTCTAATAGATACACAACAATATGGATGTAAAGTCTAACAGATACATAACAATATGGGTGTAGAGTCTAATAGACACACAACAATACGGATGTAGAGTCTAATAGATACACAACAATACGGGTGTAGAGTCTAACAGATACACAATAATATGGGTGTAGAGTCTAATAGATACACAACACTATGGATGTAGAGTCTAATAGATACACAACAATATGGATGTAGAGTCTAATAGATACACAACAATATGGATGTAGAGTCTAATAGATACACAACAATATGGATGTAGAGTCTAATAGATACACAACACTATGGATGTAGAGTCCAATAGATACACAACAATATGGATGTAGAGTCTAATAGATACACAACAATATGGATGTAGAATCTAACAGATACACAACAATATGGATGTAGAGTCTAATAGATACACAACACTATGGATGTAGAGTCTAACAGATACACAACAATACGGATGTAGAGTTTAATAGATACACAACACTATGGATGTGGAGTCTAATAGATACACAACAGGTTGCTTGTTATGAGGAACAGATGTTTGTTTATCACAAGACTCCAGTTTGGGAAGCTTCCCAACATTCACAGGGAAACTGTGTAAATAATAATGGAAGTGAAATCACTAAAGGTTGTAAATGCCACAAAGATTATTGGTGTCTTTTTGAAATATATATAAAGACAGTTAAACAAAGAAATAATTTTCTTGATACTAACAACAGTAACCAGGATAACAGAGGTCGTAGCAATAGTAGTACCAACAACAATAACAATTATGATGTGAGTGTGGTCAGTTATTATTAATAACACTGCTGTGTTAGTTTATCGTTGGACGAGAACTTAAGGATTATTCGGTAAATATAATATAATCCACTTAACACTAACAAAACCATTTTATTCTTTGAATACAAATTACACGGTTGTTAGCATTTCTAACGTTCATTGGTAGGCTTTGTTAATAATTCATATGTAAACTTCGACTCGTCTAAACACAAAATCCACTTTAATACAAGCAAATTCGTATCAATTTTTTATTCGAAACGCAAGCTCAATATTCATAACACTGAACTAATTGACTAATAAATTCGCTAGCTGAGTAACTCAATCTAACAGACTCAGAAATTAACTCTAGCCTAAATGACTTTTTATATGTGTATATGTCTCTGGTTGAAGAGCGGTAAGTTTATGAACTTACCACGTTAAATCCGGGGTTCGATTCCCCGCAGTGGACACAGCTGATAACCCAATGTGTCTTTGCTCTAAAACAAACAAACAACTTTGAAGACAGTTCCAGATACAAGTCCACACCATCCGCGGTATGTTAAACTTTTCTTCAGACAAAACAACAATAGAAATGTTTATAATCGTCTAAATCTAAAACAATATGAAACCTACGTTCTTCTCAGTTAAATTTGTTGTAAAAGTTAAAATACCTGTTTTCGTGAAACATTGTGCTTCAATATAGTTTGGATAAGTATTACTTGCTTGCTAATTTTTTGTATCAGTTTAAGGATTCCGAATTTTTTTCAAAAAGGAAATATAAACTCCTGTAAGTTGTAGATAAATTTCAACCAACTGTAAAAAGAAAAAGTATGCCCTTAAATATATACACTTCTCCACCCCCTAGCCGTACAACAAACATTGAACATTCACTTCTCCACCCCCTAGCCGTACAACAAACATTGAACATTCACTTCTTCAGCCGTACAACAAACATTGAACATTCATCCCCCCAGCTGTACAGTTCTCATCAAATTATATT